GACCCTGTCATTCAGGTAGATTCAGTGGTGCCTCGTCTGGAGGCAGAGATTTATATGGTAGAGGCCATCCTCCTAGACCTTTTTAGTCAGCTCCTCAGGTTCTCACGGTGCTTCAGGTGGTCGTGGTTCTCACATGTAGTATTCTGATCAGTAACCCTACAGTGCGCCACCAGCTTCTATTAGTGCACCGCCGCTCCAGAGTTTTCGGGGTGGTCATTCAGGTCGCTAGGGTCAGTCTCAGTTTCCTCAGCCGCAACATTTAGGTGGATGTTATGAGTGTGGTGAGTATGGTCATATTGTACTCAGTCGTAGAAGTAGGGTTCCCGTGCTATGGTTCAGGCACCAGGTGTTCCATAGACCGCCCAGCCAGCTAGAAGTGGGGGTAGAGGTGCTAGAGGTAGAGGTATAGGATTTAGAGATGGAGCTCAGACTGCTAGAGGTAGAGGCCAGCCAGCTACAGGTCGTCCCAGAGATGTAGTCCAGGGTGGTGGGGCCTAGCCCCGATGTTATGCTCTTCCAGCCAGGCCCGAGGCTGAGGCTTCAGATGCGGTTATCACAGGTACTGTTCTGGTTTGTGATAGAGATGCTTCGGTGTTATTTGATCCAGGGTCTACATACTCGTACGTGTCATCTTATTTTGCATTGTATCTGGTTATGCCTAGTGATTCATTGAGTGTTCCCGTTTATGTGTCTATGTCGGTGGATGATTCTATTATGGTAGATCAAGTCCATCGTTCCTATGTAGTTGTGATTGGGGGTCTTGAGACTCGAGTAGATTTGTTGCTTCTGGACATGGTTGATTTCGATGTTATATTAGGGATGGACTGGTTATCACCTTACCATTCTATCTTGGACTGTCATGCCAAGACTGTGACCTTAGCTTTACCGGGTATGCCTCGTTTAGAGTGGAGAAGGACTCCTGGTCATTCTACTCATAGTGTAATCTTTTATGTAAAGGCTAGGAGCATGGTCGAGAAGGGGTGTTTGGCCTATTTGGCATATGTTCGTGATTCCAGTGTTGAGGTTCCATCTATTGATTTTGTGCCTCTTGTTCGTGAGTTCCCTGAGGTATTCCCTTCAGACCTGCCGGGTATGCCAGCCGACAGGGATATTGACTTTGCATTTATTTGGCTCCGGGCACTCAGCCCATTTCTATCCTGCCGTATCGTATAGCCCCGCCGGAGTTGAAGGAGTAGTTACAAGACTTGCTGGAGAAAGGTTTCATTAGACCTAGTGTTTTGCCTTGTGGTGCACCGACGTTGTTTGTTAAGAAGAAGGACGGGCCGATGATAATGTGTATTGATTACCGGCAGTTGAACAAGGTTACAATCAAGAATAAGTATCCATTGCCAAGGATTGATGATTTGTTTGATCAGCTTCAGGGTGCCAAGGTATTTTCAAAGATTGACTTGAGATCTGGCTACCATCAGTTGAGGATTAGGGCATCCGATGTCCCTAAGACAGCTTTCTGCACTCGGTACGGGCATTATGAGTTTTTGGTAATGTCATTCGGGTTGACAAATGCCCTAGTAGCTTTTGGAGTCACCTCGATTTGTGTGCACAGTCTGGGCACGTAGCCGAAAAGCTTAAATATAATAATCTGTGAAAAATGATAAGTTTTGACTGTAAAATAAGCTGATTTAACTTCAGTCAACGTTTTGGGTAAACGGACCCAGACCCGTGATTTGACGGTTCTGGATGGTCCGTAGGAAAATATGGGACTTGGGCGTATGCCCCGAATCGAATTCCGAGGTCCCAAGCCCGAGAAATGAGTTTTTAAATAAAATTATTTTTTGAAATTGTTTAAAGGAATTTGAAATGAAATTTGATTAGAACATGGTGGTATCGGGCCCGTATTTTGGTTCCGGAACCCGATATAAGGCTTATATATGATTTAAGATATTTCTATAAAATTTGGTGAAAAACGGATGTCATTTGACGTGATTCGGACCTAAATTGCTAAAGTTGATGTTTTATGAAGTTTGAGAAAAATTCTTTGATTTTGAGGTTTAATTCGTTGTTATTGAGGTTATTTTGGCGATTTGATCACACGGTTAAGTTCGTATGATGTTGTTGAGTTAGTAAGTGTGTTTGGTTAGGTGTCCCGAGGGCTCGAGTGTGTTTCGGATGTGTTTCGGGAAGTTTTGGACTTAGGAAAAAACTACAGGTTTTCAGCTGTTAGGATTCTGATGTGTCCTTCTTCGCGTTTGCGGGAGAACCCTCAAGAACACGATGTGTTAAATTTTGTTGAAGGGAATTCCTTCTACACGAACGCGTAGCTCAGGTCGTGAACCCGAGGCAGTGGGGGGTTATCCCTTCGCGAACGCGGTCCTGGCCACGCGAACGCGAAGGCCAAATGAGCCTCGGCGGGGGTGGGGCATTTGTCTTACGCGAAATCGACCCATTGGACGCGAACGCGAGGGCTCTGGGAGATCCTTCTCCGCGAACGCAAGCCCGTTTACGCGAATGCAAAGGTCTATAGGCCTGACTCATCGCGAACGCGAAGAACATTTTTGCCCAGTTATTTTAAAGTCTCAAAAACAGAACACTTACGGGATTTTTACAAAATTTCATAAACCTCTTCTTCTCCAAAGCTCTTATGCGATTTTTGAAGCATTTCCTCACCATAATCTCTTGGGTAAATAATCTTTAACTTGTTTTCTTCCATTTTTATCAATACCCACTAGATTTCTAGGCCTAAAACATGTAGTTAAGAGTAGAAAATTAGAGATATGGGTAGAATTAGGGCTTTTTGATTAATTGCAATTTAGACCTCGTTTTGGGGTCGAATTCTGGAACTAATTATCTATTCGGGCTCGTGGATGAATGGGGGATCGGATTTTGGTTCGAACATCGTGTTTTGACCAAGCGGGCCCGGGGTCGATTTTTGAATTTTTGGGAAGAATGATTAGAAAGCTATAATTAGGCATTGGAATTGAATTGTTTAGCGTTTATTGATGCTATGAAGTCGATTATGTATTGATACAATTGATTTGGAGCCGAATTCGAAAGGAAGGCAGTATTTGAGGATTGAGTTGGTCGTGGAAGTTTGAGGTCAGTGTTCGGTCTAACCTTAGCTTGAGGGATTAGGAGTTGAGTCCTATTTACTATTTGTTTCTTGTTGAGTACGACGTATAGGCATGGTGACGAGTATCTATACGTTAGTGTCGAACATGACCGTGAGTCTTAAATTGATCCTTGTTGTATTCTTAAATGATACTATGGATGCTTTAGTGGGTAAATCCTTGATATTGAGCAAAGGCTTAGTTATTTTCATGGAATCTACTTGTGATTGAGTAATGGTGATAACTGAGATGAGTAGGAGTTGAGTTAAGATTGGTTACAGCTGATTCTCCCTTGCCGGGACGCATATACTTGTGTTGTTGAATTCACTTGCCGAGATAGTGTAGTTTATGGTTGATCCCTTGCCGGGACGGTTATTATGATTAATGTTGACTGTATATTTGGAACGGGTTGCGCGCCGCAACATTTTTATTATATATATATATATATATATATAAGGATCGGGTTGCACGCCGCAACATTATTATATATGGATCGAGTTGCATGCCGCAACAATGCTATGTTGGATCGGGTTGCATGCCGCAACAAATATTCTATTGGATCAGCGCTGTAACAGTTAAATAGATGGATCGGGTTGCACGCTGCAACACTGTTAAATGATAAGGGGTCGGGTTGCACACCGCAACAGTAGTATTATTGTATTATTGTAGATATTTCACTTTCCTTTCAGATTTCTATTTAGTTTCTGCTAGACTTGATATGTTCCCCGAAGCATGTACCCCCTCCCTTTAAACTGCTTATTTCGTGTTTATTTTTCTACCATATATTATATAACTGCACAGGTTTATCTGGAGTCTGGTCCTAGCCTCGTCACTACCTCACCGGGGTTAGGCTAGACACTTACCAGCACATGGGGTCAGTTGTGCTGATGTTACACTCTGCACTCTGTGCAGATACCGGAGCAGCACTGGGTCAGTAGCATTAGGGGAGCCAGCCTTCAATCCACCGAGATTCCGAGGCAGTCCTGCAGGCGTCCACAGGCCCGACGTCTATTCTTTCTGTTTTTATGTCCTGTTATCATTTGTATTCGAGACAGACTGTGTTTTTTCTTTCAAACATTTGTATGTAGTGATCATAGAAGGTCTGTGAATATTGTGACACTGGTTTCTGGGTAGAGACATATGTTGGCTTTTCTTGTATTTATTTTGGTATTATAATCCTCTAAGTCTTTTGCTTAATTTTCATCTTCCGCTATTATTTAAATGTTTGTCACCTGTTAATATAAGTTGTAAAAAGGATTAAAATGAAAGAGAAATTTTGTTGATTGCCTAACTTCTATGAGTAGGCGCCATCACGACTCCCGAGGGTGGGAAATTCGGGCCCTGACAATAGTAATAGCAATTGTTAAATCCATCCATTCAACAAGAAAATTACTTACCGTATAGCCAGTGTTGTGCCCAAATTGTGTCATACCTTGGCTTCTGATAGTACAACGGTCAATTTATAAGATAGCAGTTGCCTGAATGATTTCTTCGTATACTACATTGTGTGTTGTATGATCATCATTGCTATCAAATATTGGCGGTTGGATCAACAATTTCACAGAATTCGAGTTTGTTGCTCGGGATAAAGCAACATAAAGTTGACTGTGGGAAAAAATAGGCTCTTGTAAATAAATTCCAACAAAATCTAACGTCTGACCTTGAGCTTTATTTATAGTCATAGAAAAATATAATCTAATAGGGAATTGTGTTCTTTTGAAAGGAATAGGTATTTTTTTCATCTTGTGAAGATAACAACGGTATTCTCGGAATAAATACATGTGTGTTTTTTAAATCCCCGCTTGCAATTTTAGCACTTATAATATTCCTTTAAAATTACAACATACAAGTCATGTACCATTACATAAGCCTTCGCACGGATTTAAATTTCGCAATAACATAACAGGACAACTTTTTTTCAAAGTTAATTTATACGGAGGTAAACCAGCAGGGTGTAAGCTATGCAAATAAATTTCATATTGACTTTGATCATTTGTTTCAGTAGTTTCATCAAATCCATCATATGTCCTAGAATCACCCAATAATTGAGTTATGAGCATATCATTCATTTCATCAACAAAGTCATTTTTTGTTGTCAGAATAATACGAGAAGATGTAGAAGACATATTACAAGGAGATGCATAAAAATCTGGATAAGTTACTCTAAATAAAAGATTCAACGATTCTTTTTCACTAATAAAAGGAACAATGAAACAATTAGGGATTTCAATCTTACCTTGCCAATTTGTTTTTTCTTTTCCGCTCCCTATTTTCATCAAATATTCACAAAAAGCAGGATCTGTTCTTGCTCGCATATTTACTGATAATCGCAATTTTTTGAGTCGATTCCAAATGTTAGAACATTGCAAGCTTTCTTCTATGAAGTCCTCTTTTTTTCCACTACGAACAACTGGAAGAGTTTGCCTGAAATCACTACCAAGAACAACAACTTTCCCACCAAATAGTATCTTCGTATCCATTAGATCTTTCAATAGTAAATCAAAAGCCTCTATCAATTCTTTTTTGGCCATTGATACTTCATCCCATACTATTAATTTGGCATCTTGTATAAATAATGCAAGTGAACTTTGTTTACTAATATTACATGAGAATTGTCCATCAATATCAATAGGAATTTTAAAATGGGAGTGAGCAGTTCGTTCTCCGGAAAGAGTTGAAGCTGCAACACCAGAGGTTGTTGCTAAAGCTACAAATCCTTTTGACTGTATAGCAGCAAGTAATGCACTATACAAAAAAGTTTTTCTTGTTCCTCCAGGACCATCTATAAAAAAAGCTCCAGGTTTAGTTTTAAATATTCTATCAAGAATTATATTATATGCTTCTCATTGTTTATTGTTCAATTTGGTTTCCAATAACAAATCTTCGTCTCTAACAATTCTATTTCTTTCAAAATGAGAATCTTGGGCCTCTTTAATAGCTAATGAAGCTGAAATTCTTTCAGGTACAAGTGTAAATTCATTTATGTCATGACCCATTGAATGCAAAATATCATTAATATGGTTTAAAGTCATATGACGAATCTGTTTCTTGTTCAAATTTGGCATAATATTAAAGTCTTCAGACATAGAATCTTCAAATTTGTCCCAAAGTACTTTCGGATTAGTAGGATTACAATAGACCAACAACGTAGCAAATAAACGTCTTAAACTATAAGGCATCTGATATCTTACAGCTTCTGACATACATTTAACCAAGTTATTGTTGCATTGTCGTAATCTTTTTTTCCTGCGGCTTCTCTAAATGTACCACAACATACTCCATTTACACTTAGCAAATGTTGATATGATTTTGGTCCTCTAATATTCATTAATAACAATCGAAGATAGTATCTTTCCCCCTCTGTAGGATGACATGTCATAATACGTCCAATAACAGTACCCCATTATCGACGTGTCCACATCCTATATTATTTAGACATACAAAATATTGTGGAAATTCTTTGTAAAGTAACTTAGATTTTTAGCATCTTTATTTTCTCTGTTCATCAAAAAAAAAATCCGTCAACATTGTTTTTCTAATCATGGGATTACTTACAATTGTATTTATGGTCTGTGTGGTTTTAAAAGAAATAAATTGTTGTCCTTCAAGATGTAGCTGAAGATGGTAAACAACTGGGCTCATTTCGCTAATGGGAAAATCAAATAAACGCCACGTTGCTTCCGATGGCGAAACCCATCTAATGGATTGATATTGATTGATCTCATCTATTTCAATATTTGGATCATCAGCATGTACGAAAAAAGCAATTTTATCATGTCCCTTGCAAATATATTTATAAAGATATTTGACAACTTTAATATCAGAATAAACTTTAACATTAATATGACAATTAAATTTGCCCAGTATATATGGATTTTAAGGAACCACCCAGGGGTTATCAAGAAGTTGTCCTCTAATATTTACAACTTTGCCGGTATTTCATCTTTGATATATTAGATACCCATCTTTTCCATTTGATGTGTGATCGGCAAATTCCTTTGGATATTCAAACTTACAATATCCTTTTTTTCTGTACAAGGACATTTAGGATTTAAGGTACCACAAGGTCCATACATCATATGTTTAGTAACAACTGTATACAAGTAATCATACGTATCAAAATCAGGCAGTTCATCACAAACAATTTTATTATAAGCTTCTGGAGTTAACAATTTATATTCATTGTTGAGTATGATAAAAAAAATGAGCATGTGAAAGACCGCGCTTTAGAAATTCAATAGTGTACATAAAAGCAGCAACTCTTCCAAATATGTTTCTCTTTAGTATATTCGTTTTCATCTCTTATACCTTCGTTCTAAACACTCGACTAACTAAATCAGGCCGATTTTGTACCTCATTTGTTACAAATAAATGTTCTTCTATTTCAAGTCAATATGGATTACATGTCATTGTCAAAAATATATCAGATTTTCCAAAATGTTGCACTAACGCAATAACGTCCATATATCTTCGGCGCATATCTCTAAGACCTCCTACAAAACTCACAGGAAGAAAACTTTATTTACTAATATTTGATGCATCTCTCTCTCCATGTCTTAGAACATCATGAATCCTCGCTAATGCATCAACTTAAAATAAATCTTAATTAAGTGAATAGAAATCTAACCTTTGAGTCTCAAGCTTGATTAATTGATCAACTGAGTACTGTTGAAATGCTCTCCCAGCATGCAGAACTCCGTTTTCTTCGTCATCCCTCATTTGAAGCTTATAACAGTAATATTTACAGCAAGATACAATATTTCTTTTTCATTTCTTTTTTTGCAGAAGTTCCGCTTCCATATCAAGAAGCATGTCAATTGAGCACATATTTTCTACACTCGGAAGTTGGTCGTGTTCACAGTAAATTCCAGCACTAATAGTATTGTTCGTTTGAATAATCTTTTTAATACCACAGTGTCATCCATTCTATCCATAAGGAAATAGTAATGGATACTGCAATAACAGCCGTAGTAATAATTTACCAACTGGCTCTTACAACTATGCGTATAAATTCGAATGTGCGGTAAAGAAATATTGGAACTACTCTCATCTTCTATCTATATTGTTGCTACTTCTGACAATGTTGGTAAGTTGTATGTTCTTTGATCTAAACTAGAGTCAGACTTAAGCTCAATATAGAAGTTGGATAATTCTGAAATATCTGTTAACGATTTCAATAAAATGCAGTATGGGTTCATTTTTAAAGTGTCCATCAAAGTTCTGATAAATGATTCATTAAGCTTGTCAGAGAATGCCATTCGATTAACTATTTCATTATTTGTATCATAGAAATACAATTGTAGATTTTTAGTCGGCTGACTCGATGGGACCAAGTTATTTAAAAAATGATACATTTTTCCTTAAACTCTAAATGTATAAATACCACAATTTCTTCTCGCTAAATCTCTATCATATTTCACTCCAAGAGAAGTAAATGCGACCATATTATTATACATTCTAACATAAGTGCGAAAATGTTGACATTCCTCAGAGTTTCCTAAATAAAGATTTAGCAATTCAGTAGGCATTCCATAGTGAACCAATTTCACTGAACCATTGTCACAACAAAACCCCGACGGTTCTTATTGAAATCTTTTGGCTCTACAAAATTCATAGTTCAATACGGGTTTGAGTCTAAAAGAGCTAGTAGGCAATTCATTAGTGTTGTAACAACCCAATATTCTATTTTTACGACCTGTGTATCTCAAATTTACTGAAGAAAAATATATCAGCTCAAAGGAAAAAATAATTAAAATGGTTTGAAGGGTAGCTAAAAACAAACCTTTCTTTGTTGTTGTATGCGACATAATGGTGTATTGTTTGGTGCACGTTCCTGACGTGGACCCTAACATATAAGGAATTATCACATAAGTATGGTTATGTCAAAAAACTACAAATAACACCATTGTTCCAGGCTTACCAACTTCAAAAATGCAGGAGCTACTACTTATATCTCTGCCATTATTAGAAATAACGGAAGCATCAACTGAGTGCACATTTGGTAAGACAGACAAAGAGAAAACAAGTTAGTCACATCACATTGATGTGTGAACATATAAACTAAAATATACACATATAAGAAGCAAGTTATTAACTAAAAAACAATACTGTACTAACTTGTTTCCAAGAGAGAAGATGAGGCTCTTCTTACACCAACTATATTCTCGATCCACTCTTTGCTAAATTGACAGGCAGTTGGTACCTCCGTGGAATTACCAATAGGGTTATATGTTGTAGAATGAAGGTATACCATTCGTCGTTGCATTAAGTTTAATTCTCTTCTGTCTGCTAACATCTCTATATATATTTTACGGGACGCCTCTTTCTTCAGAGCATTGACGCTTCCCTTTTTTTGTTGGCATATGGAATCAATATTTTTTTCAAGTGTAGGCATCTTTTTATAGTCAGAAAACTTGATCGCTGCCAAAAATATGAAGAAACTTCTGTTAAAGTTGCTAAATTGCTCTACACAAACCATTATCAGACTATGAAAACAAATATGCATGAGAAATTACAACATCTCATTTTGATACACCAGTAAATTGACTCTAACAACAAACTAATGTCAGCCCTCCATTGATCCAGCTTCCAACCTCTTCCCCTAATCATCATAAGGCTAAAGAAATCAAAATTGACAACAACTTATGCCCATATTGGTGAAACTAATAATTTTCCTTTCAAAGGCATCCAACTGAATGAATGAACTATGATAACCAAAAATAAAGAAAACCTATATTTTTTTAAAATTCTGACTTATATCATCTTCCAAGCAGTAGTTATGATATAATTTAGCCCAAGAAAAATGAGAACAAAAGCCATTAATACTCCTCAAGACAACGGGGATAAAAATAAATCACAAACACTTAAAAGATAGAGAAGACAGAAATATGCATAACAAATTTAATAGAAATGGTAATTCATTGAAGAATTTATTCAAACACTTAGAGAAGAGAAGGCATTGGTAGTAATTTTATACCTTCAAAGGCCACCACTAACTATTAGCACGTCTAATGGAACGATGAGAATACGAACTCCTGAATTTGTATATATATAAATTTGTTATGAGCTGATAATTTTTTTTTAAAAAAAAGAAAAGAAATGAAAATAAAGAAAAGCATTCATAATCAGTCCCAGAAAAGATGAATACCATTCACAGCGTCTATAGTACATTTTATATGTAAATTTATGGCAATTTGCTATATATCTTGTAAAACAATAGTACGAAATAATTTAATTTAACTTAAGTACAATTAATTTTGCATAACAAAGATCCTGACTTGGAGAACTTAGCTAAAAGGGGAAAAGCAGAAAACGGCATACCAAAAGACACAACTTTCAAACCTGTATTTAAGGTAAATTTGAGTCTGTTTAGTAAATTGAAACTAAAAAATATCTTGGGAAACTTAGCGAAAAGGAAAAGATAAAAAAAGATGTAACGACCCGGCCGGTTGTTTTTAGAATTAATGCCCTGATCCCCTATTAACTGCTTCCCCCGTATTTATTTCTGCTATTTTGGTTTGTCGGGACGTTCAGTTATGAATTTTGGAGAGTTTTGGGACACTTAGTCCCTATATGAGAGCTTAACTGTTGGAAAGTTGACCGTAGTTGGAACAACGTGAATACGACCTCAGAATAGAAATCCGATGGTTCCGTTAGCTCCGTTAGGTGATTTTGAGGTTAGGAGCGTGTTCGGAATATGTTTTGGAGTAGGCTTGAAATGCCGAAAGTCAAATTTTCGAAATTTCCGGTCCGATAGTGAGATTTCGATCTGAGGGTCAGAATGGAGTTCCGGAAGTTGGAGTAGCTCCGTAGTGTTGAATGTCACGTGTGTGCAAAAGTTCAGGTCATTCGGACGAGGTTTGATAGACTTTTTGATCGAAAGCGTATTTTGAGGAAATTTGGAGTTCTTAGGCTTAAATCCTTGATTAATCCGAGGTTTCGATGTTGTTTTAAGTGTTTTAAGAGTTGGTACAAGTTTGAATAAGGTATTAGGTGATATTGGTGCTTTTGGTTGAGGTCCAGAGTGCCTCGAGATGAATTCGGATGGTTGACGGAGGAAATTTTGGAGTTGAAGTTGTTGCAGCAGCTGTTCTGCTGGTATTTTTGCATCTGCGGTTTGGGGACCGCAGATGCGGAGCCACAGAAGCGACATAGAGGACCGTAGAAGCGGATATTGGCTTTGTCTTCAGGGTCCGCAAATGCGGAAGGGAGACCGTAGAAACGGTTTCGCATCTGCGAAAAGGTACTCGCAGATGCGGTTGCTGGTCACTTAAAGGAAAGTCGCAGGTGCAACACTTGATCCGCAGAAGCGGGACCGCAGATGCGGTCCTAGGGCCGCAAATGCAGAAGTCACTGGGCAGAACATATAAATAGTTGCCTTTGCAAAATTTAGCTATTCTTCCACCATTTTCATCCGGGTTTGAAGCTTCCAAGAGGGATTTTCGAGGAAAACAAAGAGAAATCACTTGGAGGTAACGTCCTTGACTTCATAACTTGTTTTTATGTGATTAAAGACTTAATTGGTTGTGAGAAATTTGGAAAAAATGGGTAATTAGGGCTTGATTTTAAGAGACCTTTAGATGAGGAATTGAGGGGTTATTTGGACTTCGATTTTAGTGTTCTTATTATGTATAGACTCGTGAGAGTACGAGGTTTCTAAAAATATAAATTTTACCCGATTCCGAGATGTGGTCGCAAGGGTCATTTTGGTCATTTCTAGAATTTAATTGTAGAATCAGTTACTTGAAGTATTATTTACATTATGAAATTGAATTGAATAGATTTGGGCCATTTGGAGTCTAGTACTCGTGGCAAGGACATGGTCTCGGGTTGATTTTGAACCGGTTTGAGGTAAGTGACTTGTTTAATCTTGTGTGGGGGACCTTCCCCTTAGGATATGATATATTTGATAATTGAAATGCCTTTTACGTGAGGTGATGAGTGCGTATTTGAGCTAATTGTTGAAAATCCGGTTTTACTTTAAGTATTTCGATTGAGTTCCTTTCTTTCTTGTTTTATTCTACTTATAAACTTAGCCTGTTGTTAGTTTAGCAAAGCATGCTTAGTTGACTTAATTGTCTATTTACTTAAACTGCCTTAATTGCATTACGTGAAGTATGGTAGGCTAGAATTAACTGTTACTTAGTACGAAATTAGCATTTAGTTTAATATTCATGTGTTGCTACTGTATGTTTTAATTTGGGACTACAGGACGGCATCCCGGGAGATCCCCTGTACGTATTTATTATCTGGACTAAGGTGCGGGATACCAAGAGATCCCTGACATGTATATTGAGGATACCTAGAGATTCGTCGTGATACTAAGAGATCCCTGGAATATATTGAGGATACTAAGAGATCCTCAAGATACCAAGAGATCCCTAGTATATATTGAGGATACCAAGAGATCCTCGAGATACTAAGAAATCCCCGATTACTTACTCTCAGTAGGGCCCTGACCTTCCTCGTCACTACCCGAGCAAGGTTAGGCTTGGCATTTACTAAGTACCGTTGTGGTGTACTCATGCCCTTTCTGTGCATGTTTTTCATGTGCAGATCTAGGAACTTCTACTCAGGCCTACCATCCTTGATGGAGGCATCCACTATAGAGACTTCAAGGTACATCTGCCGCGTTCGCAGACCGAGGACTCCCTTTCCATTCTAGCTGTTAAACATTGCCCTTCTCTATTTTTCTTTCTTGTTAGATATTATGGAGTTAGACTATTAGATATTTCAAAGGCTTGTGTTCCCGCGAGTTTCCGGATTTTGGGATAGTATTTTAGAATTCTGAGCTATTGTGCTATATATGCCGAGTGGCATCCTATATACTGCTTTTCATTTGGTTATTCTTGGCTTTTAATTTATGTTTTCTTAAGTTTCCATTTATTTCTGCACTTGTTAGGCTTACCTAGTCGTAGAGACTAGGTGCCATCACGACAGTTCACGGAGGGTGAACTGGATTGTGACAAGTTGGTATCAGAGCTCTAGGTTCATAGGAGTCACGGATGATAAGCTGATTTATTAGAGAATCGCTGATCGTTACAGAGACTGTGAGCACGTGATTTTTGTTTCGCACGATAATCGCTCCAAAAGGAAATAAAAAATAATAATTGGCCCTGCTGTACAATTTTCGAATTTCTGTGCTGCACTTTGTTGATTTATTCATGACTTTTACCCATTTTTATTTTTCTTATTTATTTATTTAAAAATACAAAATGTGTGTGTCAAGCGTAATTCGAACCGTAATCCGGTCGTTAAAAAAAGAGAGAAATCATAAATAGGCATCTTCGTCCGTGATTTTGATTTGTTTGATTTTACCTGTTTTGAAATATTTTAGTGTGTGTGCAAATAATTGTATTGAGTGTGTATTTAATTTTTAATTTTGATTTTTTTTGCTTAGTTTTGTTTTTAAAATAAAAAAAAAGAAAGAAAAAAAATCAGCAATTATTCCGGATTGGGCCAATTTTAATAAATTGGCCCAAACAAAC